GGGGGGAGGGGAAGCAGCTTCCATGTTCAATTAAATTAACGTTACGAGGGTAGTAAAAATCCCGCATACGCCTCTCTATTTTCTCCTCTTTGTCAGCTTTCTCCGCAGACGAATTTCAGATGAACGAGCCGAGTGGCTACTCAATTTTATCCGGTGGATGGATTTTCCCGCGAGTGCAAATCCCAGAAATCGAGCTGGAACCGAGCACTTTGTTAACTTCTGAAAATTAATTGCTGAAAAGTGTTTTCGACTCTGTGCGGGGAAATTTAATCTTGTAAAAAAATTCTTGCATTGTTACGTGCCGAGGAGAAGGATTAAACTTCATTCGTTCGATCATTCTTGCTCTTTCGCATTAGCCTTATTATTAAGGATGCCAAGCAAGTAATTGAAAAGTAACAACTCAAAGAAACGCACAAGAATTTTCAATTCAGAGATTTGAAATTAACAACGCGCGAAACATTACAAATTTGCAATACAGCGTGCACTCGTAAGAATTAATTGATCCTTCTCGCCAAGTTGATTCAATCTTCAAGATGAAACAAAAATATCATCTCTTCTCGCGCTTCGGAGAAACCAAATTTCGTAGAGCGATCTTCGTTTCATCTGAAGATGGGAGAAGTGAACTCGATTATACAGAAGAAGGAACGCTGCTGTCAGCGGCGAGATATCGTCTTGGACTTCGGCTCCGCTTTAATCTGTCGTCGAGTTAACACGAACCGGGCGCGAGTCCAAGAGAGAGAGAGAGAGAGAGAGAAAGAGATCGGCAGAGCTACCGACGCAAATCGCCGGTGCACCGCAGGCGATAAAGCGTTTAGGGCGGTCAAACATGCGCCGTTTTCTCCGTCAAACCGTATATACATACACCGTGGCCGGGATAAACGGTGTTAACTGGCCGTGGAATTATAACAAACTTGTAACGCGCGTTTAATATTCCGAGCGGCAAACGGTATGACAGATTTACGAGTATTAATGAATCGGTAGCCAGGTTCGGTTTTTCTCCCTGTCGTTTCTCTTCGGAGCAGGCTCGATCGATCTCGATCGATCTCGAGTACGCAAGTACGTGTGTGAGTTTGAAAGTCTCTTTCGATAGTCGTTCTTGAGACTTTCAAATTGTTTGTGTCCAGTTGATGTGGGTGGTGAAAGGGTTAATGACAACAGGTGTTGTCAAAGTGATTGGAATGAGCAATTTTTGTTGCAGAGAGTTTCTATACTTAGAGATTGGATTCTTCTGTAAAAATACAGAAATGATCCTTCGTAAATAAAATTTTCTATTTTAATCTCTCTGATGGAAATTTTTTTTAATAATTCTTATTTGATTTATATTGTGCTTCTGTTTGAAATTATTGGATCCCTTTGCGTTGCAACTTCTTACGCGAGACGCTTACTCGAGAGCTTCGTTGCAGTTTATCAAAATCTAAAAAATACGTAGAAATTCGCTCTTTGTCCATTTGCAAACACGATTCACCCGATTCTTGTGGTACTCTCTCTGCACGATGATTTCACCCTCGACCTCCTCCCGAATGAAAATTAAACGTGTTATGCGGGTGTCGCCGTTCTATACCCGGAAATCATTAGCTCCAAGGGCGACTTGAAATTTGTCGAAGGGTCTACACACCAACGGAGACCAAGAAGAAAAAAAAGACGACTGCTCGGCGGCGAGGAGGAACACATCCGATAGCTAGAGGAAAAAAGAGGGCCGCGGAGGACCTGAAGAAGCAACCTTCTTTTTCCTTTTCTTCTTCTTCTTCTTCTTCTTCTCCTATGTTCCCTCCGGTCGCTCGATAGCCGAATAAATTTGGGTAGCTCCCTGTTTTGGCCCCGGGCCACGGTTACAGCGAGGTAGAGAGACTTTTTCGGATATACGATCGGGAGAGGCCTTTCGTAACGCGCGGCGCTCACTCGTCGGACGGACGAGGCGGCGACCAACCAACGGGCGAAACAGAGACAGCCGAGTGGCTCTCTCACGATGGATTTAATTAAAAAACATAATTTAGAAGGGAGGGTAACAGGTAGCCGGGACTCTGCCTTGGTGGGAACTAACGGAGGCTGTTCTCGGTCGCGCGGTGCACAGCACACACAGCCTCGTGGTTACTCATGAATAAAATTATTAATCCCCGTCGTCTCACGGGAGTTTCTATCGCGTCCCAACGGAGTCATCTCTCTCTCACTCTTTCTCTATCGGTCGTTTCCCAATAGCCACGGAACAGCGTCCGACGATCCTAATCCCGTCGTGTTCCGATCATGGAAATTTGCCCTTTCTTCCCAGTTGCCCGAGACGGGAATTGCGTAAAGTTCCTCTTCTCCCCCCGAAGTAACGCTATTACGGACGAGACGTATGGGAGAAGACACGCGATCAGTTACGAAACTATAGTGGAATTTGGGCTCGGAAACTTGTCGAAACGCAAAGGAGACGAGATTTGGAAATTTAGAACGGAGATCCATGTGCAGATGATCGATCGAATCAACTGTAAGTATAGAAATGTGACAATACGGCGTCGAATCAATTTTCGGTCCTGTAAAATTTAATCGAGTTTATCTCTATTGCGAATAATATGTAGAATATGTAGGATATGTAGGATAAATATCAATCCTCAACTACCACTGCGTTATTGGAGCACAATTACCAATACAATTTACAGTTAAATTAATCAGGTTTTAGAATTTTTCATTGTAAAATACCAAATTTTCGCAATGCAGTGTAAATTACATTGCAATGATCACTGCGTGCTCCGAGTTGCGAGTGAATTTTCTCGTTCAGTCGTATCCATTCGTTCTCAACAAATGAAATAATAAGTCTCTGAAATAAACAATATTCGACACCAACGCCGGATTGAGAGCCAAGTAATAATTCGTTGTTACTTGTTATCGTTATTCATCGCGATTTTTCCCTATTTATATGGCAAAATCAGAAAGAAACGATCTTGAAATTGCCTTGGACGTTGAAAAAAGAAAAAAAATAAAATAAAATAAAATAAAATTCGACGATACAGATAACGCAGTCTTGTCGTTCGAGGACCCGTCCGCTTACAGCAAAAATCAAATCGCAGGAAAACAACGGTGTTTCCATGATGGAGACCACCATCCGCGTCAGGCAAACGCGGTGCGTCAGGAAGGAATAATAAGTCTCGCGGCCCCAGCGTGCTGGAAAACGGCAGAGCAGCGTTTTATCGAGTAAAGTCTGCGTGTCGGCGCATGCGGTTGCATGCGCTAGCCGATAAACAAATAATTAGCATTAGAAACGAGGCACGATATCGTGACGATCTCCTCGGCACACCGACGCGTATTCCAAACGGACACGTCGAGCCAAAGCAGAGCTGCAACGACGACGTTTACCGGCGATCCAACCGATGTGTGTGCTTCGTTCGTGGCCCGTGCACGATCCACGTTTTCTCATTTCACTTCGTTTTCTCTCTCTCTCTCTCTCTCTCTCTCGCGACGAGTGCAGAAAAAAGAAAGGTCAGAGACAACGTTAAGCAATATTTAATTTAACTTTTCACCAAATGTTTCGTTTCTAGATGAAAAGATATTTTCCATCGACACGCAGTGTGAAATGCAAAATGAAAATCTGGTCGATGCCCCCCGAATAGGCAATCTTTCTTCTTTTTCGTTATTTTTTTTTTCTTTTTTAAACGTAAAAGCGAGTCGTAACGCCGTAAACGTGGACGTTGACCGGGAGGAAGTGATTAACAGAGAATATGAAAAATCTGAACGCGAATGCGTTTTAATTTAATCTGCCGCGCGGTCGCTTTTATTGCCGCAGCAAGCTGTTACGGAAGAGCATATTTTTACAACCCCGCGCGCGCAAGTCGCTTTTATAGGAAGCAGATCGGTATTAAGATTGCCGGTGGTGTGGTCGGCTCCTGCGTGGCGGAACACCAAGCGCAGAACCAAGAATCACGTACGTGCTATCGTTTCGAGGAACGAAGAACTTTTTAGTACACGGTTTATGGATATTTCGAGCGAGCGAGATATCGGCGTAATTGAGAGGAGATAAGAGGAGACGGGACACATTCGAGAATCGGAGAAACTTGACAAGTCTCGAAACGAGAAATCGAAATCACAAGCATGCCAATAGCGACTTTGAGAAAGTCAGATTAATTATCAGACTATTGCAGACTGTGCGAAAGTCATCTCGATTTTATTTTTAAATGATCGAGCTTGCTTCTGGATTTTTTCACTTATCGTTAGAGCGTCGTTTCTTTCAAATGAAAAATTAATTCAAGTAATTTCCACGTGAAAAGAAGGATTTCAAAATTATAGGAATCATCATTGTATTAGAATTCCAAGACTTTCGATCCAGATGGAACAGTGCAGTCTGATGAAATGATTCTCTTATGTTTCAAATTCAGTGAAATCGTACGAATAATAATACTTTGATATATCTGTTATAGAAATGTAAGTTTCATAATTTCGCTGGTATCAAACGAGAAATCGAAATTACAGGTATGCCAACTTTAGAGAGTCAAGTAAATTACCAGATTATCGTGGCAACGTGAATTTTATCCCAATGTTGTTTATTTTTATTTCAAAATAATAATTTATAATCGAGTTTGCTTCTGGATTTCGGCCCTTTTCTCAAAATAGAAATTTAATCCAGTGAGATTATCAAATTTATAGGAATCACCCTTGTTAAGAGTAATAGAAAAATTCCAAAATTCTCAGAATATAAATCTGTCACAGTTCTTTCATTTCTTTAAATGATCTATGCATTGAAAAAAAAAAAAAAAATTAACTTCGTGTTTCTAATTTTCTTCTAACGCTGAACTCGTGTTTCCATCTCGCGACACGATCTGCTGTCACGGAACAATGGCGTCCCAGTATAAATATTTGTCACACACAGAGAGTTATAGAAATGTAGGAAATTTCGAAGTTCTCGTCGTTCGGAAAAACGAGTGTGCCAATTTGGACGACCTTCCGGAAGAGGAACGCAGGTGGATCCAATCAGAAGCAGCTCGGGGGGCAGGTGTGGCAGCGGAGGCTCAATGCCTCTCGAAAACGACCGACGCTTTTTACACAGAAACCAGCAAACACCGCAGACTAATTTCGCGCGCAGCTCTCTATTACTGACAGACGATCCGACGTTTTTCTCCAGTTTTTGCCCCCCTCCCCCCTCGCCCTACGTACCGATGCTTTAATCGTCTTTCCGGAATAACGCAAAGAATATCGTATCGTTTCGCTCGTGAATGTGAAAGTGCATCTGGGAATAATACTCCAACAATTCATCAATTTATTCATCTGAATCTGAACTTTTACTATCTGCACGAATGAAAAATGATTAGTAGACAAGAGAGAATCAATGGGCTCCAACTACAGGTCGCGTAAGGTAGAATTCTAGAATTAAAGAAAAAGTTGACTCGACAGAAGAGAATATACAGAAATACAAAGCATAGCAGCGATAAGGTCTCTGCTCGAAAAAAATCAATTTCCCAGTCAAGAATATAAAAATTACGACAAAGGGTACGGTAAAAATTCGTCGATACTGTATTTGAATAAATCGATAAGCTTATGGATTTCGATCGAGTATACAGAGAACGTAAAACATTAGACGAGGGTTGTTCTGTGAAATGTCTGTTTGGATAATTTGGAACCAATGAGGTCTCTATTTGTGGTCGAACGAGGGAAGAGGGAAAGGAGGTTGACGCGTAGACGTCGGATGCGGTTCGCCGCACGCCCAGTTGCCTCGACACCCTACGGTTTAACCGGATTCGCACCCTCGCTTCGCAACCAGCCGTTCTGCGAACCCCGGACAGCATTCAGCTGTCGCGTGGGCTCTTGCTCTCGCACCAACACCCACCGATTCCGTTTTGTTTCACCCTGTCGCTTTCACTTTACATCGTCCACGGCCTGCTGTCCAATGATTGACACACGTTTCTTCTTCGTTTCGAAATTACGCGTCGATTTGATGGCGACACTCGAAGGCGCGTGCAACGTGCATATCGCTTGTTT